CATACAAATACAACTAAAAGTTAATGTTTTTGGTTTAATAAGTTGAGTTAAACAATCTAACTGTTGAGGTTTAAGCTGAAACAATAAAGATTCTAATTGAATAATATGAGAAAGATTAGGAGATAATTTAATTGCTTTACATAACATATCAAATTTTTGAAGAATAGTTAAACTATCATATAAAGGAGGTGTATTTAAAATTTCAAAAATTGATTTAGGAACATTTTTAATTAAAGATGAAATAAATAATTGTGGTTCTACAATATTCATTGATAAAGTCCTTATTGTTTTACAATAAACTTTAACAACTTTTAATTCACATAATAATAATAATTCTAAAATATATCTCCAAAATAGTTTAGGATGTTCAACTAATTTAGTCATTGCTTTTGTTCTATTATATAATACTTTTTGATTTAAATATTTAATAAATGATGAATCAGAAGTAATTCCATAATAATAATCTTTAATAATATAAATTGATACAATTAAATCTGCAATTTGAATATTTTCTTCAGAATGTTTTTCAATAGATTCTAATATTAAATCATATTCTTTAATTGAAAGTTTATGGTGAATAAAAATATATCGATAAATAGAATAATTAAATATATTAAACGTTTCTAATAATTTATGTGACTTTATTGGATATTCTTTTACAAGAATTTTTGCCATTGCAATAATTGTTTCTTTAGAACTTTCATATCCTCTTAAAATTGAATACATTTTATTTTGTTTTTCTATATCTTCTTCAATTTTTAATTGATTAATAATGATTTGTTCAATAGGTTTTATTGATCTACATAATATAATTTGATTTTCATTCCATAGTACAATTCCTTCAAATAATTTAATATCTTCCATTGTTGGTAATTGAAATGGAATAATTCCTTTTGGTTTTTCCATTAATTTTTCACAATAAATAACAGTAGAACCATAAGTTATACTAATACATTTTGTATCTGAAATAAAAATTAAATCTCCAATAGAACATGCTGTAATATTTGTTTTTGTATATACCCTATTTGAATAATCAATTTCTTTAATTAATATTGGCCCTTTAGTTCCAATATTCCATATCTGTAATTTATTATTAATATTAACTCCAATTTGTCCTTTATTTACATAAAAAATATCACTTGAACAAAATTTTATTGGTTTTTCTAATGTTAATTCATCATTATCATTAATTTTAATTATATATATCATCTTTCCTGTTTGAATTAAAAGTATTGAATGACTTAGTTGAATCTCTTCAATTGGTTTTTTACTTATATTAATTGTTTGAATTAACATTCCACTATTAACATTAAAAAATCCAACTACTCCATTTCTTGTACCAAATACACCTACTGGTAATCCACAATGTGAAAATACAATAAAACAATTAACACTGCTAATTTTATTTGATTTTGGTAAATTAACACTTCTTAATTTTGGTTCATAAAAATTATTTCTCATTATTGTATATGAAAAGTAATAATAATCCTCAAATAAAACAATTATGTCTTGTCCGTTTTGATCAATTGCACAATATGATCTTGTTGGTATATGTATAGTATCTAATTGAATATTTTGATTAAAATTAGCTTTATTTGAATGTACTGAAATTAATAAAAATGTTTTTGTATTATTATTATTTGTTTCTTCTCTAATACATGCAATAATTTGATGAGCAAGTGAAGTATGTACAACACATGTTTTAAACTCACCTACATATGAATATATTCTAATCTTTTATATCTTTTTCTTAAACAAAAAAAAAGAAAATAATCTTGTTTCAAACACTGTTGCGGTGGTGATGTGAAGACATGAATTAATTGATATGATTGAGGTAATAAAGACATATTCTTTAAATTTTTTCTAATTTACTTTTTGAGATTTCTTTTTCTAATTAAATTTTCTTTTTCTTATTTTCTGTAGAACTTTTCAAATGAAAGAAATTTTTTATAATATCTTATCTAAAACATTAATTATTATTATTTTATTTATTAAAATTTCTTGGATTATTCATTTCATTCTTTAATATCTATCAATCATTAAATATATTCTTTTACAATTATTTAATGTTTTTAATATTCTATTACTTAAATTACTTTATTTCTTTGTTTTTTATTTCATTTTTAAAAATAAATTTTGTTCTACTATGAAAGGACTTAACACTACTATAATAAACTCTTTAGTTAAATTGACTAATGTCTTGACAATACCGATATCAATTAAAAGTACCTTTTAAATCATTATGCTTTTAATTTAAAATTCTTTAATTTATTCATTTAGAATCTTTAAAGAAGAAAAATTGAAAAAGAACTAAATAATTCCAATGTCTGATAAAAAGAAACTCATTATACCAAAAGGTGCTGGTCAAATTCAACAATTAGGCAGTGGACTAAGAGCAAAACAAACTGATACAACCACTCATTTTAAAAAGAATTGTCGATATGATTATCAACCAGAGATATGTAAAGATTTTTATGAAACAGGATATTGTGGATATGGAGAAAATTGTAAGTTTATTCATGACAGAAGTCTTACAAAAAGTAGCTTAACGTTAGAACGTGAGTTTGAAGAAAATAGAAAACATGAAGCCCAAAAAAAAACTGAAGAACTTATGAAAGAACAAAAAGAAGCTGATGAAATTAAACTTCAAAAAGAAAAAGAACAGAAAAAAGAAACTATTTGTCCTAAGTGTCAAAAAAAATATAATGAAGAAAAAACACCAATGATAATGAAATGTGGTGATTGGATTTGTTCTGATTGTGCAATTGGATGTAAAAAATGTCCTGTTTGTAATACTTCAACCGGTGGTGTTTTTAAAGCAGCTAAAAGAAAGAGATAAACTATTTGGCTGAGATTGATTAATTGATTATTTTGTGATGTATCCCACTTTTATTTTTTTATTGAAAAATTAACTATACTTCTTATATTATGTATTATAAAATATAATAAAATTAAAAGAAAAACTAAAAAGATAATAAAATAAATATTAAAAAAATAAAAAAGAAAAAAGGGTTTTTTAAAAAAAGAACTGCTTTTGCAAAGCAGTCATGGTTTGTTCAGATTACATTCATATTTTTTAAAGTGAAAAGAAATTTACATAAATAGGCCACTAGATTCAGACAAACACGAAGAAGAAGAGGACATGTTTCAATGGGTTATGGTCGTATTGGAAAACATAGAAAACAAAGAGGAGGAAGAGGAAATGCTGGTGGACAACACCATAGAAAAACTTGGTTCACTACCTTCCACCCAGACTACTTTGGCAAACATGGAATGAGAGTATTCCATCTTAAAGCTAACAAATACTATTGTCCAAGCATTAATGTAGATTCATTATGGAGTCTTGTTGGTAAAGACGTTCAAGAACAATACAAGAATGCTAAAACTGGAGAAGAAGTTCCAGTTATTGACTGTGTAAAACATGGTTATTTCAAGGTCCTTGGTAAAGGATTCCTTCCAAAACAACCAGTCATTGTCAGAGCTAGATATTTCAGTGAAAAAGCCCAAGAAAAGATTAAGGCTGTTGGAGGAGCATGTGAACTTACTGCTTAATTGGATCTTATTGTCTTGTGATTTTTTTTATTATACTATAATTTTTCAAAACTTATTTAAAATAATGAACTTAATAATTAATAAACCCTTTTATTTTTATTTATTTCATTTAAATAATTTTTAATGGAAGTACGTATTGTTACCAGTAATCCTAATAAAGCAAAAGAAATTAACGAAATTTTAAAGGACTTAGGACTTCAAATTGGAATAGTTAATATTAATTTAATGGAAATTCAAGAAACTCCATTAAATATTATTGAGTATAAAGCTAAAGAAGCTATTAAACGTTCTAATACTCCAGTTATTGTTGAAGATGTTAGTTTCAATTTAAAGTGTATGGGAGAATTACCAGGACCATATATTAAATATTTTGTACAAAGTATTGGACCAGCTGGATTATATAAAATGGCAAAAGGGTTTAATGATTACAGAGCACAGGCTATTCTTTCTATTGGATTAACCCGTAAAGAAGATGATGAGGTAGTAAAGATTCAAGCCATTATTGAAGGTAAAGTAGTTGAGCCAAGAGGGTCAAATGGATTTGGGTTTGATAGTTGTTTTATTCCAGAAGGATACGATAAAACATACGCAGAGATGAGTGAAGCAGAAAAAAATAAATGTTCTCATAGAGGAGTTGGATATCGTAAATTAGCACTTTGGTTAAAAGAACATCCAAATTATTTTAAATAAAAAGAGTTATAATTCAAAATTTGAATAAATAAACATTTTTTATTTTATTAAATTCAAATAAAAAGGAGAGAAAATATTATTAACCAAGAAGTCAATTTAGATCATATTAGCGAGGAGTTTATTAATGAGTAATTCACGATTTCCAAATCCACCACCAAGAATGAAATGGATTTTCTTATTCTTTTCAGCAATTTTAGCACCATTTAATTTGAATGGAGCAAGTTTGTTGTTAACTTCTTTGAAATGTTTTCCAACTGTGTAAATTTCATGAACAAGATCATCAACGCAAACGACATCTTTATCTCCAAGTGCCTTCTTAATCATACAGTTAGAAGTAATTGGCATTCTATTTCCATTAATTTTAAGAGCTCCACGTTTATAAATAAGTTTTTGGACAGTTTCTAAAGTTGGATAACCATAGGTGATATATGGATCAACAAGTCTTAACATCTTAATAGTAGAAGCATTGGCCTTAATGAAAACAGCATTGTTAATTTGTCTTAATCTAAGAAGTTTAAGAATTTTTTTAATCTTTGGTGAAACTCCATTAATACCTCTAATTCTAATAGCAACAATTAATTTTGGATCAGCTTCTGCATATAAATCACCATTGATTTCTGCATTCTTCTTAGCGGTATAAACAGCCTTCTTGGCAGCTTCAATATCTTTATGATTTTTAATTGTTCTGAGAATTACTTCTTTTCTGAATGCTTGACATCTTGCTTTACATGGGCAAACAGTTTTTGTGCATGTTTCTCTTTGAACGGCGGTGGCTACCTTAGCACTCATTTCTCCTACACTAAAGCCCTAAATCTTATTTTAGTTCTTTACGAGGGTTTCTCTTCATTAAAACTTTTTTATATGTTTTTGTTATATACAACATTTTAAGATAACAAAAAATAAATTCAAATATTCAATTACATTAAACGTAATAACAAATATTTAAATTTAAAAAGAAAATAATAAGTTAATAAAAAAAATTTTTTTGTTATTTTTCTATGGAATCTTTAAGAATTGAATTTTGTTAAAAAAAAATTGAAGAAATCAAAATAGAACTTTATAAAAAAAAATTAAAAAATGACAACAACAGATGATACAGTTAAATTTGGGAAAGTTGAAATAACACAATATAAAAGAGCAATAGGAGGGTCATGTGGAGTACCAGAAAAAGGGAAATATCCATTAGGATTATCTTTTGAGATTGTAAATCAAAGTGAAATGACATTTGAAGAATATGTAGAAAAATATCAAAAGAAAACAGAGCCGTTAGAAGAAATTGGAGAGAAAAAAAGAAAGAAGTTGTTGAGTGAAAACAAACAAGATTTAACAAAGTATGATGATTCTATTGATATTGAAATGCAAAAAACAATGAAAAGAATTAGTAAAAGAGGATGTCGTTGTAAAGGAGTATGTGATAAGAATTGTGTTTGTGTCAAACATGGCCAATCATGTATTTTTGGAGTATGTGCATGTAGTGAAAGAGATTGTTCAAATATAAGAGATGACGATCCATGTATAGGTTCACCTTTTGATGATATTGATGCAGGGCAACGAAGTATTTTATTAAATGTAACACCAGCACCAGTTAAAAAGCATAGTTTATTTAATTGAGTTTTAAATAGTAAAAATAAAATAAAAAAGTTTATAATAATAAATAATAAATATTTGAAAATGTTCTTAAAAACAAAAAAAGAACTTTAAAAGAATAATATGAGTTCTTCTAGATTATTAAAAACAATTCTTTTGGGTTCTAGTAAGTTTGTTTAAATCGAAAGATCAAATTGTATTATATAAAAACAAAATAATTATTATTTATTTTATAGTGTAGGTAAAACTGCTTTAATACATAGATTTGTTAATCAAAAATTTACAAATTCATATAAAGCAACAATAGGAGCAGATTTTATGACAAAATCTATTACTGTAGAAGGAAAAGAAGTTACAATGCAAACATGGGATACAGCAGGAAATGAAAGATTTATATCATTAAGTATAGCGTTTTATAGAGGAGCAGATTGTTGTGGATTAGTTTTTGATGTGTCAAATCCAAAATCATTTGAACAATTAACTATGTGGAAAAATGAATTTCTTAAGAATTGTACAACTAATAAAAATGGTAAATTTCCATTTGTAATTATTGGAAATAAAATAGACAAAGGAAGTGTTATATCAAAAGAAGCTGTTACTGATTGGATTCAATTTAATGGTTTAGATGCTATTTATGTTGAATCTTCTGCTTTAACTGGTGATAATGTTGATTTTGTTTTTGAATGTTTAGCAAAAAAAGCATTAGAATCAGAACCTTTATTAGTTCAACCAAATGAAACATTAGTCCAACCTTTTAAAAATGATGATGAAGTTGAACAAGCTCCTTGTTGTTAATTCATTTTTTTATTTACAATTAAAAAATCTTTCATTTTTTTTTTTAAAATTAAAATAAAATTCAAAACAAATAAATTCAATTAATGCATATTATTGTTGAACAAATCATTGAATTTTATTTGAAATAATTTCTTCCAATTAATGGAGTAGTTGATAAGTCAAATGGAATAAATTCCCAATTTTCATTTTTATTTATTGTTTCGTTTAATTTATTTTCATTTAATAAAGGGTCTGAATAATTAAATTTTACAGTAGTAAAGTTATCAGTATTAGTAATTTGTGAAATAACTTTTTTAACTGATAATTCTTCTTGATCAGTTTTAACAATTAAATTTTCTAATATACTAGTAATTTTAGCAAGAGATAAGTGAGGACAGATATTAGTTCTAGCTTCATTATCTGATAAAATAGATTTATCATTTAATAATAAAACTCTTGAAGTTTCAGATATTACATTAAATTGATCTTTACAATCTATTTTAAATGAATGAGGTTTTCTAAAATAGTCTTGAAGAAATGAAATAATCATAACTGAATTCATTCCAATTGTTGTACAACAATTCTTTTTTGATGGATTAACAACTTCTTCAATAAAAAGAATATTAATTTCTCTTAATAAATCTTCAACAAATATATTTATAAATACTTTGGTTACTCTCATTTGGTCAAACATTTTTCTTAAATCATCAATAAAATTGATTAATTCATCACAACTCATTAATGATTTATTAAATATTAATTCCATTAATCTTTGAAGATCTTTTTTAATAATTTCAAATAATTTTGTATATAACTTCTTTATTGATTCAAATAATACTTTAATAAAATTACCTATTTGATTACTATTATTCTTTTCGTATTCTTTCTTAAATAATAAACATAATCTACTAATACTTGAATATAAATATATGGCTTGTTTTACAAATATTAAATCACTTGATATTGTTTCTTCTAATGCTGTATTAGTTGCTTCTAATAAATCTTCTTTTCCATCAAATGCTTTTTTCTTTATGAGAATTTCAAAAATTAATTCACTCATTAATGTATTAGTCATTGGCATATTTTTTGATTCTAAATCAAATTGCATTAAAGACGTTACTTGTTTTATATCATCAACAAATTTTGCTTCATCTTCCGGTAAATTTTCTTTCTGAACTTCATTTATCTCTGAAAAAAATATAGGGCGTTGACTAAATGCTGATTTAACTCGTTGATGTCCTACTCTTCGAGAAATGTCAATTGACCCTCCTGAAAAATCTCCTCTTGAACTACAGTTCTGACTTCTTGCATCTCTAGCACTACGTGCAAGACCAGAACTAATTTGTGAAGAAGCTGTTGTTTGTTTTGATGGTGTACTAGTTGTAGGAGTCACTGAAGAAGCCATTGCAGATTGTTTCTCAAGAGGAATAGTTATTGAAGTAATTTGTCTTTTTAATTGTGGGATTTGATTAGTTTTTGTGATTTGATGGATTTGTCCTGAAAATTGTAGAGAATACAGAAGTTGCATAGGAAGGTTTTTATATGTAAAATTAAGTATTTGTGAAGTAGTAATACTGTTCACAAATTTTGATAAATTTACTGTTGTTTTAAATAGCTCTTTCTTTTTTGTTACTGTCTTAATAACGAATTGAAGTTCTTTTTCTTTGTAAGTTCCTTCCTTTTGACTCTTAACAATAAAGGTACTAAGGAAATTAAATGTTTGGTTAAGGTCTTTATTTATCTCAAATGGTTGTGTAGTTTCTGTAATATCTCCACGTGAATATGTACATGTAATAAATCCAAATTGGCTTAAACTTGAGTCTGGTGCAGATGAGAAAACTTTTTGAATAGTTAATTTGACATCAATCTTCCTATGTGACATAGTAAGTGAATTATCTTTTCTTGTTCTTTTCTCTTTCTTTTTTCCATTCAAAACACTTTTTCATTTATACATAATTTTATTTTTTATAGTTTCATTTAATTTTCTTATAGATTAGGTACTAATATCTTTTCAAGTTCTTCTGTTAAAGTTGTTATTTTTAAAATGAAAAGTAATTCACATTTAAAAAAAAAAGTGTAAGGAAAAGAAATGTATCAATACCATAATTTTTAGGTTTGAGGTTAATCTGAGTAAGGAAATAAGCTAAGAATAAAAAAAAATAAATAAAGAAATTTAGTTTTATTCTTTGTATCTAAAGGTATAACTGAATGACTTAATTTTCATTAATCCTTTTTGTTAATGACTCTTTTTATAATGTCTTTTCTTCGAATATGTCTTAGACTTACATTTCATTTTCATAATATAAGCACTATTTAAAAACTGTTCCAGGAAGGGTTGAGTTAAAGAGTACTTTGTAAAACTAAGTTGTTTTATTTTAGTAATTTAATTCTAACAAAACTTTAGGGATTTACTAATACTTCCATTCTATTAATTAGAATATAAAAATTTATTATTATTAAGATGAGGACCTTTTTTATTTGGAGTTAATTTAATAATAAACTAACTTAACAAATGAAAGTATTATACGTGTGTAACTCCTTGGTTTCAATGAACATTTTATTAAGAAATTGGTTAACTGTGAATAGTGTATCATGGTTTATTCTTGTAAAATCTCCCAAATTAGTTTGTAGTTTGTTAACTAGAGTTTTATTTACAACACACCTAAAAAGATATCTTAGTAAAGACAAATCACTAAAACACTTAAAGTTAATTTTGATATTGGGTATGAGTAAATATCTTATTAGTCTTTTTGTTTTATATTTTGATATATTTTAATCTTCTTTCTCAGAAACTTAAAATTATCGTTTCAATTATTATAGTAATGACTTAATTAGTATAATTTTAAAATTCAAAAACAATAATCATTAAAACAAAGTTATATTTACGTATCTTTTTTTTATATTGAGTATAACATTTTTGATATATGTCACAAACAGGTAATTAATAATTTTATTTTGTTACCCTTTGTAGTATTGAACAATATGTTTTAATATTTCCACATAAGAAAACAATTAATAAGAGAGAATTAAATCAAAGACAGAATTTCATTCGAGGTAGATAAATAGAAGAAAAAACAAAAAAGAAGAGACTCAAAGAATTCTAAAGTTTAATTTACTTTAATAAAGTCAGAAAACATCAATGAAACGAATTATCTATTTTTAGTTGGGTGGAATTAACTTAAAAGAGAATAATATTTTTTTTTGTTTAAAGTAAATAGTAATGAAATACTATTTTGTTAATAAAGTAGATACATATATTCTAAGTAGTTCTTGAAGGTTTGTCTTCACAAAGAAAAAAAAATACAGGATGGTATTAATTAAAAAAATGTTTTTTACTAATCATAGATAAAACATACTTATAAATAATTCTTTGGTAAAAGTAATGAAATAGTTTTTGCATCTATATAAGAAATTAAAATATCAAAGTAATAAAGGTTTTCTTGGTTAGAAAAGAACTTGTTTTATAATTATTTTTGATTCTGTACTTTGTTAACTGGCTTAATTCAAAAAATACTTATTATTTCTTTTTGTATTTTTCATTCTTATAGTTTGAATTTAATGTTCACTTTTTTATTAATCTTTTTATTCTTTCTTTTCAAATTTAAACAGCGTAATAAAAACTTGTTAGTCAATCAACATTTATCTCTCTTTTATTTTTATTATTTATCATTGTAATAGGATTATATATTTACGTTTTCGTTTTTGTTATTCTAAATATATTTATTCAAATTCAATTGTTAGCTTATTTAAAATATCAAATAAATGAATAAATAATAGTTGAAATATTATATAAAATATTTATTTATTTGTTTATATCATTTTATTGTTTAATTATTATATTATTTGAAATATTCTTTATTATTTCTTTTATTTTATTATTGTTTCTTTTAACTTCTATTCATTTATTAAATTATTATGTTTATTCTTTATTTTATATGTTTGTTATCATTTTTTTCTTAACCATAAAATTTATTCATTAAAATATCTTGTTTATTTTAATGTGTTGTTAAATATTTCTTGATTCCTTCTGGTGTTGGTTCAATTGTGTCTTTCCCTGCTTTCCAATTGATTGGACAAACTGCTCCATGTTTATCACTAAATTGAATTGCTTTAACTATTCTAATAGTTTCTTCTGTTGATCTTCCAATTCCATCATCATTCATTTGAATGTATCTTACTTTTCCTTTATCATCAATAATGACATATCCTCTTCTTGAAACTCCTGTTTCTACATTTAACATTCCATATTTAATTGAAATACATCTTTTAATATCTGATATTAATGGGAATCCTAATTTTCCTACTCCTCCTTTACTTTTATCTGCTTCACACCATGCTTGATGACAATAAACTGAATCAACACTCACTCCAATAACTTCACAATTGATTTCTTTCAATTGTCCTGCAACTTCACTATATCCAATCATTTCTGTTGGACAAACAAATGTCCAATCCAATGGATAAAATAATAACACAACATATTTCCCTTTATATTCATTAATATCAATTTCTTTGATTGAACCACATGGACAATATGCTTGTGCTTTAAATTCTGGTGCTTCTTTTCCAATTTGTGCTTTTTCAAATGTGTTCATAAATTTCTTAAATGCTTTAATTCTTGGACAACAACATTCTTTCTTACAATACTCTTTACAACAATACTCTTTACAACATTCTTTCTCTTGACATTCTTTCTTACAACATTCTTTTTGTTGATTGCAGGACATTTAACTGTTTGAATTGATGAGATTGTGATGATGAGATGTTTAAATAACAAATGAACTACCAAAACCATCTTTACATAATTAAAATAAGAATGTCATCATCATCAATGTGCATTCTTATCATTCTGGGATTTATTCATCTTTCTTTCTTCTTATAATGAATGAACTGGTAAATAGAAAACAAAAATGACAAGATAAAAAAGAAATCGGAGATACACAAAATCACTCATTCGAAATGGTTCTATTGAAGAATATGATGAAGAGAAAGATGGGTGTATTGGTACAAAACATCAATAAGAAACAAAGAAACAGAGATAAAAGAGAAAACAAAATAAGAAGAGAAGTGAATATTAGAATAAGAGATAAAAGATAAATAGAAAAAGAATAAATAAGAAGAAAGATAAAAGAGAACATACAAAACATAAAGAAATAAAAAGTGATAAAAGAATGATAAAACATAAAGAAAAGAAGAATAAACAATTAACAACAATAATCAAAATATTAATAGAAATCAAAAATCATAATAGAAATGATAATATAAATTAATATAATTATATTTCAACATATTTATTAATAAATGAATATAATAATGATAAATAAGAATATAAATGAAATATAAAGAATAAAAAGTAATTAATTAAGTGTTAATAGAAATATTTTCTATTGTTCCTTGCTCAGTGGAGATTAATTAATCCATTTGCTTTAAAAGTGTTTATTCATCAACTACTTATTGTTTGATTTTAGTTGTTGAAATATGACAGTTTCACTTTCTCATTTATTTGATGTAGAATAGAGTATTTTAAACATCCATTACTTAAATATTCATTATTTGATTTCTATTTGATTTTTATGAATAATAAAATTCTTCTTTATTTTTTTATTTTAAGGAGAGTATTATATAATTACTACTGTTATTGCTTTAGGCTAATATTCTTTTAGCCTCAATCACTTGACCCTTTTCCTTTGATAATCTTTCTTATATTATCATTTATATTTGTATTCTAACAAGTAATAATAACATCTTTATAAATATCCATCTTTTATTATCAATATATCCCATCGTTGTACATAATAAACACTGATGTTCTTGCAAAATTGGATAAGATGTTTTTCTAACCAAACGCAAAGTCATAACCAGTCCACAACTGGGGGACCCAAATAATGGAAATATTTTAGGGAACTGTGTAGTGTCTCTGACGTGCTACCTTCGAATCGATAAAATAATATAAAGCAATAATAAGGACAAGAAAGAAAAATATAATATACTTCATAACAACGACTAAGTCGTTATCATTATATATACTGGTTGTTAATTATATTAACACTTGTTATAGCATAGTTCTCATATGTACTACTATTTAGATTAAACCCAAGACTTCACCGATATTTATTGTTATTTTTATTTCCAATAAGATTATTTATTCAATTGAGGAAATGATTCAAAAATAATGAATAAGATGAACTAGAAAATAAATAATTGAACTATTTAATGGAAGATAGTAGATCATCAAATTATAAAATAGGAGAAATGAAACAACTTGATATGGTTTATTTAATGAAAGTAGCACTTCATGTCTTTGACATGAATGACATTCAAAACATTGAAATGATTAACAAGAAATGTGGAACTGCAATTAACTCATTGAAAGTTAATCCATGGTTTAAATCAGAAAGAGATATTAATAAGTTTTGTAACATATTTAATCCACCAACATGTAATTGTAATTTACTTCCTGTTGATGAATCAGTATTAATGAAAGTTGAGAATATTAGAAATTATGAATTAGACAGTTTCAATCACCCAGTAAAAATGGTAAATCCAATCAATCAATTTAATCCACAACATCAAAAAATGACAGAAGAAGAAAAGGAGCGAATGGTTAAAATTATACAAAAAGTTGAATCTATGACATATTTTTCAAATATTACAGAAGAAATGATTGAACTTGTTATTCAAAACATGAAGAAAGGAATTAAAATAAGAACTTATGAAATTTGTGCAAAGCAATTTAATGAAATCTTTGATAAAATGAAAATAGAAGAATCAATGTATCCAAGTGAAATGATAATTTATGGAAGAGTAAACAATAATTGGATTAAGGCTAGAGAGAATAAAAATATCATTGTTATCTATGAAACAAGAGAACCTTTTGAATCTAAAAGTGAAGTAAAAATACCAAAAGGTATTAGAGTTTATTCTTCAAAGATTCTTTTGTCGGAACCAAATAATGAAACAAATATTAAATTTGTTAGATCACCAGTTGACTCATTATTTTCAAATGTAAAATTAGAGTCATTTGATTCATTTAGAGATGCTGATGTTTCTAGTGTTGGTGTGTGTATAGAAGATATTATTAATGAAGAGAATAGAAAGAAGGTTTATAAGATTCTTAATGATCTTTATGCAAACTCAATTTCAATTAATGAAAATAGTCAACCATTATTTGGTCAAAATCAAGACTTAACACCAATTGAACTACCACGATTACCTGAATACATTAAATACCTTTGTGTTCATTCAATAAATTCAAATATTGTAATTAATCAACAAAACATTGAAGGTTTAGAAATAAATTCATTAAAATCTTCACTTGAACTTCGTTATGTGAAGAATTTGAAAAAGTTAAAACTACGTGGAGTTAATAAACTAAAGATAAATGAAATAAACGAAGAACAAGAAATCAAAACAACAAATAACAGAAGATATTGGAAAGAAATAAAAGAAGGTATAAATACATTCACAAATCTTGAAGAACTTCGATTAAACTGTTCTAATTTAAATACTAGTTTAGTATTAAATAAATTAAAGAGTGTTGAAGTAATTGAGTGTAGAGAATGTAAAATTAATATAAAATCAGATTGTATTGAAAGATTGAAGTTAGAAGGAAATATTCAAACACAAATCAAATTATCAACAAATAAACCAACTGATATTTGTATTAAAGAATGTGATACTTTCAAATTAGGAATAGAATCTAATAATGAACAAAATATTGAAATAATAAAAGGAAATCAGACTAATGTAAAATCAAAATGTCCAATTAACAAATTAATAATAGTAGAATCTAAAGAAGTGAATATTACAGGAAATGAAAAATGTAATACAATGAAAGTTATTGAATCTACAATCAATGAAATTGATATTAAACCAAAAAGAATTATATTTAAATCAATTGAAGAATACATTAAAGTACCTCTGAAAGAAGCAGAAGAGATATATATTGTATCAATGAAAGATTATATCTTTGAAGAATTATTTGATAAATGTAAGAAATTATGTATTGATGAATGTGAGAATTGTCAATTCATAATCAACAAGAATCAAATCAAAGAAGTGAAAATAACAAAATGTAAAAATACAGAAATCATAGGGAAGTTAGATAATATTGAAGAAATCATCACAATAGATAATGAAGAATGTAATATTCCAGAAACAAAGAATGTTATAAAAGAAGATACAGAAATAATAGAAATAAATAATACAAATAAAGATATAGAAATAGAAACAGATAAGAAACATGTTATAATAAGAAATACTCATGACAGTAATATTAAAATTGAAAGTGATATTAATAGTGATGTTACAATAGAAAATAGTGAAAATATCGCACTTGATGGAGAATATGAGCACTATGGAACTATTCAATTCATTAATTGTAAGAGTAATAAAGAAACTCGATTTAATAATCAAGATAATAGATCAACAATTGGATGTGCTAGATCAATATCAATTAATAAATGTGAGAATATTGATTTTGAAAGTTGTGGAACTAAAAAGTTATTAGAAATTATTGATAGTAAAGTAGGTATTTGGTCATACTCTCAAACAAACATTGACACAATATATATTGAAAACTCTGAGTTATATTGTTTTGATTTATGTATACTATGTAACAAAGCAATTTTAATTAATAGTACTGAAATTTATAGTATCATTCAACACTGTAAGGAAGAGCTTGTAATGAAAAGAATAAATGATACCCAATTCATGTTAAACCAATTTTTGAAGAAAGTTGAAATGGAAGAATGTAGTGGAATTGATATTAAGAATGATGTTAAAGGAAAAGAAGTTAAAATGGTAAGATGTCATAATATAAAGATAATTGATACATCAAATTCAATCAACCAGATTGAATGTGATAATATTGAAGTAATAACAGAACAACAAAATGAAATGATGAGAGGATTTGGAATGATGGGAGGATTTATTCCTAATAATATGCCAATGGGAGGATTTATTCCTGATAATATGCCAATGGGGGATGATTTGGCGATGGATTCGGTATTTAGTCAAGAAAGTAATGATGATGAATAACTTGATTCATTTTTGATAAATTTGATTGATTAAAATAAAAGATTAAACAAATGATAAACAATGTTATGATTGGTGAATGATAAATGATATTCAATAAATAAAATCAAATTCAAAATAACTCTTCATCAATAATTCATTTATTGATATAATAAGTTAAACATAATAAAGTTTATCATCAACAAAAATACAATTCAATTATTAATGTAATAACACTTATCTTCATTGATAAAGAGAATAAAGAAATTAAATGTTTATAATGATGATTAAACTAGAGTATGAGAATAAAAGAATAAAAAGAAAGAATGTTAATTAATAGATTGTAAATGTTCTACACCAACTTGCTTTCCAAAATTAATAGCCTTTTCCTGTTTCTTTATGTCTTTCTCAACAATACCTTCTCCATCACATCCAACCATATATAACTCATTATATGCAATATGGTACAAGTTAGCAGTTTCTTTAATTGCATAAGCACCTCTTTCACAAAAACTCTCTTGAACATCAGCACAATTCACTATACATACAAATCTTTTATGTTTAAACATTGGAGTAAGTTTTTGCTTTAATCCATTATTATCCCAATCATATGAAGGAACAAAACGATCTAACAATGTTTTAATTGGTCCTGGCATATTAAAATAATAAATTGGAAATGCAAAAACAACAATCTCAGTGCTTAATATATCTTTCTCTAATTCAAACGTTTCATCCTTTTGGACACAATAAAAATCATCTTTGTTTCTACATTGTAAACACCCATAACATGTTGCTGGATTCATTCGAGGTACATTAACAATCCTCTCTTCTATTTCCATTTCTTGTTTTAATCCCTCCAGAAATTTATTGATAAGCCATGCAGAATTACCATTATTGTTCCAACTTCCATTCAATACAAGTACGTGTGTCTTTGCCATATTATTAACGAATGTTTCATTCAATCTTTTATTTAATTTTTCAAAAAACAAAATACCTCATCATCCAACGAAAACATACTTTATTTCCATCTTTTCGTTTCTATTTATCTCCTCATCACAAAAAAATGTTAAAATTGTATTATTTACTATGTCATTGTTCTTAATTTGTGTTTGATAGTTCTACTTGGTACTAATTGGTATTTCTTATGCAATTATACATCAACTTCTTTTATTCTCATTGAGATTCTCTACAAATAATGTAGAAACATATTTTACGTTTAGTTAATTATAACTGTTATAAAAACAACCTAACCAAGACTTTTAAATAACAAACAAAGAACAAAACTCAGATTATGTTATATTCCTTCTCAAGATATATTCTTCTTTTGATACAAAATGATTTTATAATTCATTTCTTTATCAAGAAAGTTTGTAAATAAAATAATAGAATGTTTTTCTTTTTAGTACTATGTTATGGTTGTTTATTTAAAAATTAGATGTGTATTCTTCTTTTATTTAACTCAATGTCTGAAAACCAACCAGAGAACGATATGTACAATCTGTACAGATTACAACTTTTCGTTTTTTTGAGTAAAAAACCTCATTAAATCTTCATCAAAGCTCTTCAACTACCAACCTTCTTCATCTCATCAACACTTCTTCAATTGAACATTCAATCCTTATCAAATTCAGAAACTATGCTCTTCTTCATTTTTTTCTGGGGATTTTTCTCTTATTGATTCATCTCTTTTAGATGAGCTTTTTCTAGAATCACTATAACGGTGAGAATGATGTCTATCATCTCGTGATGTACTTCTAGATGATGGACTTTCAGAAGAATGATAATGACGATGGTA